CCATCTCTTCGATCTCTTTCTTTAACTCCGACTTTAAAGCTACTGCGACTCTTCGTGGCTGAGCTTGGACCGCTTTAACCTTAGTATCAATGTCCATATGATATTCTCCTGGAAGAGTTCCAAGACCATTAAAGACATCAGAATACTTGTTTAATATGCATTCTTGAGGTAAAGGGCTGCTTGTCACTTTGGTGGTAACAGGAGTGTCCTTCTGTACTGTCAATGCATTAACTCTTTCTTGATGATTAACAGTCAACAGTCCCAACTGCTCACACGTCGCTGCTGACAAAAGAGGCTTTTGGTTAGAATCCACCACTTGAAATTTAAGAAGGTAGCTACTTGCAGGTTGGTTGCATCTTAATTCACAACATCCTAATGGTAACATCACGGAACCATCATATAGTCGTAGCTTTGCATCGGTTTTCTGTAGCTTTGGATTACCATCCTGTGCAATCTTGCAATACTCTTTGTAACTTATGACATTACATGTAGAGCCACAGTCCATTTGGCATTGTACCAGTTGTTGGGGACCATCTCTAATGCTAAGACCCAGGATTGCATACCATTTTTCACCTGCAGTTTTAACCGTACCAACCGTTTCTTCAACTTGTTAAAGTGATTCATCTGATGACTGCTCTTCCATAATTGCATGGACATCTTTCTTCACTTTCTGTTTACAGACTCTTGCGAAATGATGCTTTTTCTTGCAATTATTGCAGGTCTCGCCATAAGCTGGACATTGTTTTTTGTCTCTTTTATGCTTGCCACCACAGTACTTACACGATTCTTTAAAATATTCCTTCGTCCTTCCATTATTTTTATTTAATCCCTCTTTTTTCTTGGAGCCACCAGATTTCTTTTCATTGCTTGTGTAGTTCACTGCTGCCACTCCATCAAGTTCATTGTTCATTGTTTTCCATTGAGCATTTGCTATTTCACTATTCCTACACATGTCAATCGCCTTTTGGATATCAAGATTCGGTTCTCTCAACATTCGGGCTTTCGCACTGCTGTCTTTGGCTCCCAACACTAAACGATCTCTGATTAACTCGTTTTCCAGTTGCTCGAACTTACAATAAGTTGCTGCCATTTGCTTAAGCTTCGTAATATATTGGTCAATCGTTTCTCCTTGCTCTTGTACACAAGTGTTAAACTTAAACCTTTCGTATATCACATTTCGTGTTGGTTCAAAATGTTTCTGAAGTGCATCCAAGACCTTTGCTATGTCTTTTCTGTCCTCTCCACTCATGTCAATATGTTGATATATTCTAAAACATTCTCTACCCATAACCGACATAAGCGTAGCGATTCGTACTGCTTCATCTTTTTTATCAAGACTAGTCGCTATCTCATAGTTTTCGTACTGTGCTCTGAAGAATGCCCAATTCTGAGGCAAATCGCCTTTCATCGCCATTGCCGCCGGCACTGGAAAACTATTCGTAGCCATTTCAATCCGTCTCAATCTTCTTCACTAACTTGTCATCCACGCTGTTTAATGTCTTGTGAGTCAAGTTAGATATTTTATCTGTTCATTTATGTGCTTTCGTACGTAACTCGGGTTTATCTTCGAGGCTATTTTACTCAAGATAATCCCATTCCTGACACCAATAACAACACTTTATTAAATATTCTACCTAATTATATATACATAGAAGACTGAGTAGGAGTCTGGAAACCAATCCAGTAACAAATACTACAGTTTACAGTAGCAATATTTAACACACAGTACATTGTAATTGTTTTTGTTCTTAAATTGCCCTTTCCACGCGCTCTTTCAACCATTAGAAACATAATAGCGTTAAATGGCTAAATTATGCTGGAGGAACCACAAATGTCTCTACATTTAAAGCTTTTTCAAACTGACACAGAGGTGAATGGACAAGATTACAATTAATTGTGACATTTTTCTTCGACAACAGCACTCTTCGCGGCTCCTGCCGGCTCTATACTGATCCTGTTTCACACGCAATATTTTCCTTATTCAGTCACTAACACACCTTTTGTATCCCACTATGAAGAACATCAACATTTCCACCAAAACCCCGAAAAAATCATCATTTTATAGACGAAACAATAAAATATTTCAAACAATTTGTTTTGCTTTTGTCAACGCATGCGCAGTTCGGTCGACATACAGTTTTCTGTATGTCTGATTCGGATTATCCCAGAGCCTTCGGAAGTTTCCTTCCCAAGGATCGCAGGCTCGGGGAACGAGATTGCCTCGGTGAAGGCTATTTCAGATACAATCTCGTAGCCATCGTTGAGTGGCTCTGGCCACACGGGATTGAAAAACGATCCTGATTGGTCGATCCATAAGTTATTGAACCCATACCCCCTGTGGCGTTCACATGCGCGGCCAACATGAGTGAATACGATATATTTGCTAATATTTGGCCTGAAAAGTTGCTTATTTCGACGAATTTTTTGTTACTTTTCGTCCGAAAAAGTGGTGAAGGGATTAAGGAGTTGATTTATGCATACTTTAGTTCATTTGGGCAAAATAACAGCCTTCGTTATGGTAATAATTCATACTCTTGGTTCACTCTGAGTGAGTATTGATGGGAATGATGGCATATGTCCTTGATCCACTATATTGGATTGTTATTATTACCTCTGGTCGGTACGACACCGAGGTCTTAAATTCGGCTCCTATTTTTTTTTTCTTGTTTTTTTTTTTGTGTCGAGCCGCGCGCGTAGTCGAAGATCGAAGGGCCTGCGGAGGAGACGACAACTTCCGGTAAATAAGTGTACTTCCGGCAAGCATCGGCCAAAGCGAAACGGAACCCGAAGCTGTCCTTGCACAAAATCCGTCAGAATTGTTGATTTAAAACCAGAAGATGTGATAATTTTGACATACATGTTTAGCTGGACAACTATTCTCGAGTATATGTTGATATAATGTACAATACATCGTATGCATAGCATGGGAATACCGCGGCCAACTTTCACTTGTTATCTATTATAATTACTGACCCGAATCAAAAGTAATTATTTTCGGCTGGAAGACTACTGTACGTTGCTGCTTGTCGGGACCGTATGACAATGAACCTATCCAACGTTACACTAGACATTTGTGAGGACATGCATATAGACATAACCATAGGCACTGTAGTGCATTGTGATAGAACAGATTTCAGTTTAATTAATCGCCCTAAATTAAAATCTCCACAAGCGGAGGCAAATAATAGTGTTCTAGTTTACATATTATCATTAATGATAAGGTTTACTCAAATAGCGTATTGGATAAACACGGGAATAGAACTTATGGTGTATTCTGCACATGCGTATATCTAGGATAAAATCCCACAAGCGCAAACGAAACTATTTCTCTATAAAATTGAACTGAAAAGACTCACAGCGACCGTTTCCAACAGTGCTTCAGGCACCCGACGACACCGTATGGGGGGCCTTTAGCACTGTCACCTTCTCATCTTGGGATGTTCACGTTATCGCGTGTACATGTCAGGGTGACGAAGATGCATTATTGCTAATAATGTCTGTGTGCACTGATGCACGCTGCATTATTTTTAATAATGTTGTGTGCTATTTTAACGCGTACATAGAATATGACGCGTATAAACATTTACCCCTGAGCCGGAATTTCCCTATACAACCAAAAAGGCCGCTCCCGTTTTTCAGTAGAACGTTAAATGAAAACTTCTCGACATTCGCTGATATAATGCAGAGAGAAAACAATAGGTTTGATGATGGCCAGTAATTATTGTCAATAAAATATTAAAACGGAGCTTTGATTAACTGATTCACCATTTATACTAGTGAACTATTAATATAAACTATCGTGATTTACACAATTTTTGGATATTTACTAGACGATCCCCTATATCCACCGACCCGAGGTTAACGCCGAGTCGGCGTCTTGTTGAAAATAAATTCAAGCCTACAAGACTTACAAGCGTACACGTATGCTAGGACTGTGTTTATACAAGATTTGGGATTTTTTAATTGAACTGTAAATGTATGAATCATCATGGTGTGAATGTAACAATTAAACAGCTGAAACAGCATTTGTTCTTTTGCAACTTGTTTGATAGAATTGTTTGATGATATATTGTTTCTGTTTACAGTATTGCTTGTGCAACTCTGTCAGAAACATTGGTGTTAGTAGCCAAAAAAGGTTTCGTAAAGCCAGGCCATGTAAAGTATGTAATGTAAACAAACCCTTTGTTTACATTCTGAACCCAGTGCTTTTGTTGTAGAATATTATATATATATATATATATATATATATATATATATATATATATATATATATATATATATATATATATATATATATATATATATATATATTCAATTCAAGAAAGTTTGGAAGGTGCAAAATATTATTAACATTCTGCAGGCCTACATTCCAATGGACCCGACCATTGGAATGTAGGCTTGCAGAATGCATGCGCAGAACAGACTTTACATGGTCTTTAACAATAGCAGTATGCACTACATACAGTGTGTAATAATATGAAACCGTCTACACAATTTATACAATGGTTCGTTAGTTCCACTAAAACTGGTAGAAATAAATGATTGTCAACTATTCCACAGTCTTGCTGTGCTGAGTGGTTAATATATAGTAATACTACCTGAAAAAAAAAACAAGCAGAAACTCGACATTGGCTACTAACTCTTGGTGAAGGGCCTTTGCTCGAAACATCAAATTTCTGCTTGTTTTTTTCAGGTAGTACTATGGGAAACTGAGTGTCCAACAATTAACAATTGTATTTGAAGTCCAATGCTCAACAAAAACAACTTTACTTTTTCAGAATATGACTACCAAAACCAAATTTTAGGTTTATTAGTAAACTATCATATATAACTTCATACATCTTTAACAATTTCAGGACCGCCAAAAGTAGGGATGCAGGCAAAAGCCCAGTTCAAAAGGGGCCTCCAAAGCACAAAAAGTTGTGTCAGTGCCAGATAATATGCAGTAATAAGTGTAATATATTGTAAAACACCTCTTCTCCCATTTAATAATTATGATGTCATAGGGAACCCTGGGAAAACTTAATGATGTCATATGGTTCCCCTGGAAAAGTTTTACTCTGGACCTGCACAACCTCCCAGTGGTACCATAAAATAAATTGCAAGTTCTGAAAAACCTTTATTGATTTCAATAATGTGTCATTCTACACATCAACCTATATGTGTCATTCTACACATCAACCTGATATTACACTTATTCAAGCAGGACATTGTTATTAGTCAGGCCAGGTGTGATTCTTGATTCTTTAACCTAACTACTTTTTATCACATGACTAATGAGCAATGCTACTTCTCCAACAATACTATTCCTTTCTTAAGTATTTCATTATATTAGACTCTTCATTATAATGCAACATGCCAAGCTGTTTACTGTTCCAGAATACAGAACTGTATAATTTTGACTTGAAAGTGATTTCCATTGTTTCTGGATGTACTGGTATTGGAATAATAAAAAAGATTATCATATGTACATTGTACAGTCCCAGGTGTATCTGAAAGAAATGTAATACTAAAGTTATAAAATAGGCAACCATTAAACACACAGGTATACTGCTACAGGCTTTTGCTCAATTGCTACTGCAGTACAGGCCTTCTTTATTGAGAAAAATATCTTTATTTTCTCATTGTATGAAGAACAATATTTGGTTTTGAATTCCCTAGGTATGATACATTCATAATAATGCATGTATAATAGTAATAAATACTGGGTATGATCAGCTCACAGGATATGCTATAGAATTTCTGAAAATCTGCTGCATTCTTAGGGGGTACACAATATCTTTTGTGGTATCCTAAATAGACTACAATTAGGATGGGAATTCAGAGCCCAAGATTCAAAAATTAACCTTGAAACAAAATAATGATGACATGAACAATATAAATTGTAACAAATTAAAGAATTAAAGGTAACCAAGGCAGTGTGCAACAAGCAACGTTGTTGCTCAAGAATAGCCTATTTAATAAAGCTGAGAGTTATTAAATTACATTTATATAACAAATAATTAAACGTACTTATTATACCTTAGGAAGAAATCGGAACATTTTGAAGGAAATAGAAGCCATTTGGTAACACGTACCCTTCAAAATTTCAAAAATTGATGAGTGTCCAAAAGAAGATTGTGCGTCTAATCACTTTCAAACCGTAAAGTCTGAGCACACGGAACCATTATTCAAAAAATTAAATCTATTAAATATTTACAAAATAAATGATTATTTGACCAGTTTATTTATGTTTCAATTTTACAACATGAACAATATGCCCGAAATTTTCAACAATTTTTTCAAAACTAATAATGAAATTCATAATCACAATACTAGAAGTTCCAAAAAACTACATAAAACCTACACCCGAACTAATTATATGAAACATACTCTCTCCAGTAAAGGAGTAGATATTTGGAATAATTTGAACGAAGATTTAAAATCCATCCAATTTTACCAATCGTT